AGATAGAAACTAGGCGCAGGCGGGGAAGGGGTGCAGGGGGGAGGGGCAGAGCCCCTCCCTCCATCTGGGAAAGTCCCAGTTGCGCACAGAATAAATCGGACACAGCAAGTTAAATGAATCGAACACAGTGTCAATCGGACACAATAGAAAACGGACACAAGATGGTTGCAATTGGACACATGATAATCAGACACGGTAATTATCCAGAATAGCTACATCACCTCCGATTTTGATGTAATTAGGCTCATTCGACGCGTAACAAGGTAACTTTGTTAGCCTTGGTTAACCTTGTTAGGTTGAACATTGTTAGGTTCCACGTGAGTAGGATTTGTTATTTTTTTTCGCGGGAAAGAGGCTTCGCCCCGAAGGGGCAAAGCACTCCGCCGCCTACGCGTGCAAATTTGAAATGTTGCAATTAATTTTCTCTTTAAAAAACACAAGGAATTGAGCGCACATGGCGTGAGGTGAGAGCGAATATTTCTAAATATGGCTCTAAGAAAGAACACTTAGTGTCTTATCTTGCGGAATATTTATTTAAGCGTGCACACTCTCGCCCTGAGCGTATTAGTACGTTCGTCGATCTCATTGCTGAGTTTCAAGAGATATTAATTCAGGACAAAATTTTGAATGAGCATGTTGATCCTCCGCAAGATGATTAAAAATAAGCACTTATTAGACACATACACATATATATACAGATACGTTTTATCCATTAAGATAATTACAAACTTGTGGAGAGGGTTTGAAATCTAAAAATACTGTAGGAGTGACGAACTATGGATCCTGATCTCCACACACACACACGCACACAGGCACGCACGCACGCATCCTCATACACACACACACACACACACACACAAACAAACACACACGGTGCGCAGTATATTAATGTCTAGCTAATGATTTTCACTGCCTTTTCGCGGTTTTCGAATGCATGTTTTTCGCAGCGGTCAACTTTACATTATTGTTACGCGTAAAGTATTGCAATTACGACAATAATGTGTATAACCTTTTTTGTAGTATCTTATTTTCTACATTTTTTGTTTGAAAAATTTTTTGATACCGGAAATAGTTGCGGAGATAATCGTAATAAAACGTTTTTTTTGCATGTTTTTTCAAGATGGCGGCCAAAATATGGCCGACCGCCAAATATTATTATTATATTCGTGTTCAGAAGGCAAAAATACATGGGAATTGAGCATTTTTGTCCATTACTTTTTTGAGGACCATATTCCCAAGGTTTACCATTATCTGCACCCGACAGCTTGTCGAACTGCGGCATATGCGTATTATTCAGTATCTTTGTCTCACTGTGTCGGTTGAATTAACGCTTAAAATAATCAGGCACAGAGTTCAGACAGTCACAGAGATACTTTCTTTTCTTTTTGTTGCCTCTATATCACTCTATATCTATGCACGTATCGCTTGCTTAGATAGATCTGAGCTTTTTTATGGCGCAGTGGAAGCGTGCTGGGCCCATAACCTATTGTGATAGGAATTGCACAGAATAACTATCGTATATATACAGGGTGTCCTATTATAAAACATCCACGCAAATTACTCCGAAGATAAGGGTGATAGCAAAAAATGACCTTAACAAACGTTGTAGGATTAAAAGGGGGCCAACTGAGGGTGACCTTGACTTTGACCTCGCAGTTGATTTTCAAGGTCATTTGAAGGTCAGAGTAATTTTTTAAATAAAAACTTCTATTTTTGATTCCAAAATCTAATAGCTGGTGTCAAGAGCTTTTTAAAACACTATAATGAAGTTATTTTTTATTAAGTACTTTTCGAGTTATGAGGCTTGTAAATTACAGTATTTTGACATAAAATACAAAATATCTTGTAAAACATTCAATTTTTGGGAATCTTACCTTTATACTTTTATGCATAAAATAATGAGACAAATCAATTGATATATAGAAAACACATAGTTGCTTTCAAGAATAAATATGTAATTTGCAACATGCAACTGCA